GATCTGCTGGTTCCTCCTCCCTCACCACCCTCGACGGTGGTGCAGCTAGGGGGTATACAGGGGTCCCCCCGGTGGAGCGGTCGGTTGCGATGCAAGTGTGTCCTAATACCGCCTCCACCCGGCAGGGCGAACCGTGCCTCCCCTCCCAGGTCTGTAGGTACTCGACTGGCCAGCGATGCTTATACGGCCTGTGGAGAAGCTGCCTCCGCCTTATACGCTACGGCGTTACTGCAGGTTCTTCAGGCTAAGGCACTGAGGGACCTGCACGAGGGTGGTCATGACCCAGAAGTTCTCAAAGAACTCCGCACTGCTACGGACCACAAGCGACGAAGGTCACTGCACTGTCTCTGGGTCGTGCGATGTCCACTATGGTGGTCCAGAAGTGCCAAAACTGGCTGTGTCTGGTCGATATGAGGGACGCCGACAAAGTTCAGTTCCTTAATGCCCCTGTGTCCCAGACTGGTCTCTTCGGCGATGCGGTCGAGAGCCTGGCCCAGCAGCTCTCGGCTGTACAGAAGCAGACTGCGGCATCCACCCATCCGCCGGCCACAGCGCCCCAGCCTGCTCATCGCCAAGGGCGGCCCCCTGCGTCCGCCCCCCCCGCTCCCGCACTGCATCCGCTCCGGCAAGCGGCGCCGTGAAACTGGGCGTAGGCAGGCCGCCCCACCCGTCCGGGCCCCCGTCAAATCTGGCGGTGAGCAAAAGAGCAAGAGGCCCCGGGACGGGCGACCCAGAGAGGGAGGAAGCTGCTCTCAGGGGATGGTGAAGGCACCTCTCCCTCCCCCGGAGGAGGGCCCGGGTGGAGAATCTGGAAAATCTCGACAAAAAAGAGGTTTTCTCTGTCCCTGGGTGGGGACCACGCTCATCCTCCTCCTTCGCAAGCTGGCAGCAGTGGGCGGTTCGAGAGAGTCAACGAAGGCCCTACTCACGCACCCTCTGCCAACCTGTAGAACCAGGTAAGCGTTGCACCGCACACTGAGACCCTTCTTCGGTCTGCTCACAAGCCGCCTGAGTTGGGTCCCTGCTTTCCACTTCGCTGCCCCACTGCAGGTATGGCAGTGGTTCCGTTGGTCCCACTTGGTGCCTGGCTAGAGCTACCCAGCCCGTCTCGCTGGTTGCTACGGTCCATCAGCCTCGGCTATGCGATTCAGTTCGCCTGGCGTCCCCCCAAGTTCAGTGGCATCCACTTCACAACAGTGAAGGCGGCCGATGGTCCTGTCTTGCGGGCGGAGGTCGCAGTCCTACTGGCGAAGGATGCAATAGAGCCGGTCCCTCCAGCCGATATGAAGACGGGGTTTTACAGCTCCTACTTCATTGTACCCAAGAAAGGCGGTGGGTTACGACCAATCTTCAACCTGCGTGTCTTGAACCGGGCCCTTCACCGCAGGAATGCATCTTCGGGTGCATCCGTCCCCGAGATTGGTTTGCAGTGGTCGACCTGAAGGACGCGTACTTCATGAGTCGACCCTTCCGCACCACAGACCATTGCTGTGGTTCGCGTCCGAAGGACGAGCATATCAGTACGAGGTCCTGCCCTCCGGGCTGTCCCTGTTGCCCCGTGTCTTCACGTAAGTTGCGGATGTACCCCTTGTTTCCCTGAGAGAATAATTGTGCAAACACAGGGATTTCGTGCTCTCACACCTCAGCCTGTTGGGCCTTCGGGTCAACTGGGAAAAGAGCAAACTCTCCCAGACACAGAGGATCTCTTTTCTCGGTATGGAGTTGAACTCGGTCGAACAGACAGCACGCCTCACGCAGGAACGTGCTCAGTCAGTGTTAAACTGCTTGAATACATTCAAGAGCAGGATGGTGGTCCCACTGAAACAATTTCAGAGGCTCCTGGGGCATATGGCAGCTACGGTGGCAGTCACGCCACTGGGGCTGCTTCATATGAGACCGCTTCAGCACTGGCTCCATAGCCGAGTCCCAAGGTGGGCGTGGAAACGCGGCACTTACCGGGTCCAAGTGACACTGGCCTGCTGCCAAACCTTCACCCCGTGGTCAGACTTTGCGTTTCT